GGCTGTGCCTGGGTGCGCATCAGGCTTCCCAAAGTGCTCGTGGGGTCGGCAAAGAGCCGGCTTGTCACAAATGTTGTCATCCAAAAGGTCGCGGCGTGTCGCCACTTGGCCACTCCCAGCGTTGGGTGATGCAGGTAGGTGGTCATTTGTCGACGAAAGGCAGCGTAGATGGAGGCAGGGCTGAGCATGGTCTGCAGAGGCGCAATGTTGAAGAGCAAGTGGCTGTTGTTGTAGTGGCGTTGAGCGTCCTGTACCTCGCGTCGCAAGGTCATGCCATCGTCGAGGCTCATGTGGTCTTCATCCTGCTCGTCCTCCAACAGATCCTCCTCTTCCTGATCATCGTCGTAGGTTCCACGCCCACCATTGTGAGGGATTTGAAGAGTGCCCCGCTTTTCCAGCCAACTCGTCAGCATTTGCTCCAGAGGCTTGCACAAGAGCAAATACATGAAAATCAGCTTGCTGACTTCCTCGTCCATGTACCGAAAGGCGTGCTGCTCATCTAGAGAGAGCCCGTGGGTTTTACCCAGACGGGTCAATATGGAAAGCTGCCTTTCAGCGAAAAACACGGCCCGTTGCCGACCCACGCCATTTTTGTAGGATAGCCCTTGATATACGGTTGCTTGAGGTGGCAGACCTAACAAAACGCCAAAGCCAATGCAAACAGATAAGAGTGGTACAATAAACATGCCAAGCTTCTCAAACAGAGTCTTTGCTCGATCGCAAGCGTACCTCCAGCCATGTGGGTGTAGGTGAGCGCCAGCTGGTTAAACTTGCCCACAAACAGAAGCCATTCCCGCACGCGGTCTTCTCGAAAGGTCAGCTCTTCATCAGCTTCTTCTGGCCCCAGCTCTGGGCAGATAAACTCTTGCCGCAAGCTCGGATTCTGGCCAATGTGATCAAATAGGGCCCGCTCAGCTGGGCTGCCACGGCCCACCCACCAATTCTTGACCATGTTGGTCCGATCCTCCTTTGACCATAGCCGAGCATACTCGCCAATGTGTTGCTCTCGCAGACCAGATCCCAGCAAGAGATGGGTGTCCAAGACCTCCTTCATATCGTTGCGCATCTGTGCCAGAGCGGTCCCAATCTCTTTCACGTTGAGTTCAGTACCCTGACAAACGATAGTGTGCAGCGCCTCGTCCGTCATGTCCCCGTCCGTTTGCACCTCAATATCCACGCCAACCTGCCCCTCGGCCGTGCTGGCAGAGCAAGCCGCCGCCATGCGCTGGCTCAAAAAATGCACCAGCCGTCCGGGCTGTAGGAAAGCTCTGAGTTTACCCGCAGTGGCCCATCGCTGTGCCTTGCCAAACCGGAGCAAAAACAGCTTGAAAATATAAATCAAACCGGCCTGCGTTGTGGTCCAGCGCCGGATGTCTTGCAAGACACCGTTTCCCTTGGACACGGCCGTGCACAACAAAAACACGTTGACAAAGTGCACCTTGTCGTTGTCAAACAGATGTAGCTCTGCATTCACCAGTGCCAGCCACAGAGCCGCCAAGGGCTCGACAAGATCCTCCCCGCTCAGTCCCGCATCCAGCGCGTCTTGCACGGCCAAAGCAGCTGTAGTTATGGCCTCCCCACGGCTGGCGAGCACCTGGCTCAAAAAGCTGGATGGCTCGGGGGCTGGCAGTGCGTCCAGTAGCAGTATAAAATGCACCAGCCGCGCTCCAATGTTTAGGTATCTGCTCATCGTGCCAGGAGATACTTGGGGTAAAGTTTGTGGCTCAACTTGCAACTCTTCATCTTCGAACAAGGACGCCACGGAAGCAGCCGCCAGGCCGTGCTGGGACAATTGTTCGTGGGCCTCCCACAAGAGCTCGTGCATGCCTGACACGAGTGGTGCGGGTGGGGTGTCGTGGCCCAGCTTGAGAATTTGCTCTGGGGTCAGCTCGCTCAGGATCAGCGTCATGCCCACACGATCGTAGAACGGGTGCATCTGGTGAACGCCGTGCGGGCAGCGCTTCTCCTCGGCCTCTGACGCCATGGCCTGGGTGCTGGAGATCAGCTGCTTGAACCGCTGCTGCTCCTCCAGCTCTTCCTCGTTTTCGCTGACGTCGGCTGCCGAGGCATCGTGGCCATCTTCGACAATGACCTCGATACAGCGGGCTCCGGCACCGCGCAACGGCTTTTGCAGCTTGACGCGTCGAGGCGGCTGCTTGGCCTCTGATTCGTCGGGATGCTCGGCTACGATGTGATGCCACAGACTGCCTTTTGTGGTGAAGCAAGCCTGACACAAGGGGCAACCCACGCCGTCCAGAACGGGAATGCCTTCAATAGGCTTATGGGGCCCAGATTCAACTCCGAGGTCAAGCAGCGGCTCTTCGGGCTGCAGTGGGCGCAGGAGTGCCATAGCTGCATCAATGTCTTCCTGGCTGCACCGAACATGGTGTTTTTTGAACAGATGGTGCGTCGCCCTGCCTCTCAGGACATGGCCGCACTGCGTGCACACTGGAGATTCAAAAACAGGGGATACAAGGCAACCAATCTCGCACATGAAGATTCGAGCCGCGGCTATGCCGTGCTGTTGATCAAGCTTGACCACACGTTTTTTCATGCGCGTCCGAGTAGGTTTTTGGCGAGCAGGCAGCCGGTCGCAAGTCACAGCCGCCGGTATTGCTGCTCTGGGTGTCGTCTGTTTCTCATGCAGATGCTGGAGGTGTGATTTTAGGTTGGCTGAGAGTCCATGGCGATAGTGGCATCCTCCCACGGGGCAATGAAAGCAGCCATCATCTTCTCGGTATCGAAGCAGCGATGTTCCATATAGTGTGATGCGCGTGCTCTTCTGGTGCACCTACGAAAACAAGGACGACGAGGCGTGCGTCCTTGAGGCTGATGAGACGTGTTCAAGGACAATGTTTTCTTCCCCTTTCATTCTTGAACAGCGATCGAGAAGCGAGATGAGCCAACACACCAGAGCAACATGTTGATCTCTTGCGGCACGGTTATGGAATGCCTGATCGCACTGCAAGCACAGCATGTCTTGTACCAGTGACATCTTGGGTGAACACGAGCAGCTCAGAGCGAAGGTCGAGTCAACTCGAACGTCAAAATAAAAAAAAATAAAAAAGTAAGTGAATGTGTAACGAAAGCCACACTTAATGACATTGTTCATTTGCACAGGGTTTTGTCTTGGGACAACCAGTACACGCAGCTATGAAGTCGTTCTGTCGGGCTCACGTCACGTCGTGAGGACTGCAAAAAGCTGCTGAGAGTGATTCATCTGCTCCATCATCTTGCAAAGATATGGCAGAGTGCGAGAATCCGCTGGTCTTTCAACGCGGCACTATTGTTGCGTGCTTGTGAAGCATCGCTTACCTTTACACACAGCTGGCATCATCCACCATTGGCCCCTCACCAGACTCTCTTTCGACCCTCGCTTGGGCATGCGGTCCGAGGCATCTCGTATGCAAAACGCAAACATGCATGTTGATGACTCAATTTGTCCAGCAAAACGGAACGACTCGAGACTACACCAAGTATAAAGCGCTTCAAGCATGGCGGCGACACGGCACAACAGATATCCATCGATAAGGGCATGTAAACAGAAACGAACACAGACGGGTTACAGCGGGCTCGGCTTAGCCGGTGACTAGGGTGGTGTTGGTGGAGATGGCGTTGACGTCAAAGGCGATGGCGTTGACGTCCACATCGTTGTTGACGATGATGAGGTCGCCGGTGACGCTGAGGAGGCTGCCGAGCGCATCCACGTTGGTCAGCGTGGGATTGTTGTAAACCACGAGCTGGCCCGCTGTCTCCAGGCTCTCGAGGCCATCCAAAGTGGTCATGTATTCGTTGCTGTTAATCTCCAGGCTGTCAATGTGCGTGACTGCGCCAAAGAGCGACATGTCAGATAATTGCGTCTCAAAGATGCTCACATAGCCCAGTCCCGCCGGGATCTGGCCCTGATAATCGATGGCATCTTCAAAGTAGAGAGCGGCTGCGTATGTCACCGTGTCCAAAAGTCCATAGCTGGAGCCAGCGCCACAATAAAGGAGAAGGACTAGAGGGCTGTAGAGGTGGGTGACGCCAGCAAGCATTGCCTTGATGTCACTGGCGGTCGACACGTTGCAGATCAAGTCATCGCCGTTGTAGCCGGTGCACATGTAGTCTGTGTAGCCTGGGTTACAGGCGCAAGACAGGCTACCAGCCGGCACCGTGCCAAAGCCGCCACAGGTAGACCACGGCACGCTGACACTGGCGCCGTCAGCAATCTCGACCGTCTCCACCAAGTGCGACCAAAGAGCTTCGCAATCTGCGCACGCATCAATGCTCAGAGCTGGTGCAGAGTTCTGACCGAGCAGAAGCACCGGCTCGGCACCGTTGAGGGCTGAAAAGTTGGTCAAAAGGTTTGAGGAGATGATGGAGAGCGAACCAATGCGCGCCACATTCTCGAGACCGGTAAACGAGGTCATCGCAGGGCACGCAAAGATCTCGAGTGCCTCGTCGATGGTGGTCAGCGTGGCGAGTCCCGACAGGTTGGTAAGCTGGTCGTTGTTCTGGATGCTCAGCGAGCCCACCGTCTCGAGCTCGGGCAGCCAATCGATGCTGGTTGCGGGTACAGACTCGATGTGCACGGTCGAGACAGACTTCAAACTCGGAAAGCCTGGCTCGACAATGGGCATGCCAAAGGAGTTGACAATGAGGCTGCCTTCAATGCTCGTGAGGTAGGGGAAGTTGAGGAACGACATCTCCATGCACGTGTCAGTCAGATGAATGTTACCAATCACGTGGCGCACGTTGGCTAGGGTCTGGTTGAGGGTCTCGGCTTGGGCAAAGTCCATGCAGAAAAAGTCACCGGTGATGGTGTCGCACAGCTTGCCCGAGTACTCGGGCGAGGCGCAAGTACACTCGGTCTCGGGAAAGCCTGAATGATAGCCGTTCTGGCATACGAGCTGAAATTCAACAGAGGTGCTGACCGTGCCGCTGCGCTCGACAACAGTCGGGTTGAAGCCCAGCACATTCTCCAGGTGGTCGTTGCTTGTGATATCCACAAAGCCAAGTCGAACAACTTGAACCCCTGCCAGGTCGTCAAGGTTCTTCAGGCCGGTTTCACGAAGGAGCAGGCCGTGCTCGCCAATGGTCGCCAGATGGGACGTGCCCAAGATTTCAACATGGGGGCAGTTACGGACGTGCAAGCCGCCCACGTGTTCCAGGAGACCTTCGTTGAGGTCTCGGGCGGGCAGGTCATCTAGCAGTAGGGCACCGGGCATCGTGCGCAGCTTAGAAGCAAGGGAAATGTTGTCACAGCCGCTGACACAGGCCTCGTGGTCCGCTCCAATGTGGTTGAGCATCATCGAGATTTGGGGCGGGATCGTTCGGTTGACAAACGTGTCCCAGTAAGCCGAGGGCAGTTTGCTCTCCACCTCGTCGAGTGAACAAGCACCAAGCTCAGTGAGATCAGGGAAGAGCGTGCGTCCAACAAGGCCGGCTTCGGGCAGATTGGCCAGGGCGATGCAGCCGGTCACAGTTTCCCAATGATTTTCAGGCCAGTCCGTGGCAAGCTGGGTCGGTGTGGTCGGGTCATAGATGAAAGCGTTGCCATCGATCTTGGTGAGCTTGCCCACGGCGGTGATGGCATCAGCCGTCACGCAGCCATCCGACATGACAAGGTCGCCACGGAGCGTCGTCACGCCTTCAAGCACGGTGAGAAGCAGGGGCACATCACCCGCCAGCGCACAGCGCAGTATGCCCACGCCCACGAACTCGCTACAGAGTGCAGATAGGCCATTGGTAAGGGCTTGGTGTGAGCGGAGCAGAATGCGCAACGTGACAAAAAATAAAAAATAAAAAATAAAAAATAAAAAAACCTACTCGCAAGAGTCACCCGCGTAGCTGCTGTCGCACAGGCACGTCTTGGTATTGGTTGCGTTGTCAATCACGCTGACACCATGAGAGGTGCAGATGGGATGCAAATGATCCTTGATGGCTTCAAGCACTATTATCAGGGCGGCAGGGAGGCAGGAGAAATGGGAACGAGAGAATTTGACAGATGTGAGCATACGACACTGACGCGGGATGGCAGCCAGAAGCAGCAGAACGAGAGAAGGGGGAAGAGTTAGCGTTTGAGTTCTGACCAGCATTGGAATCAATGGATTGCGAGGCCGAGGGAGGCAGTGAGAGTAGCGCCGCAAGGGCGACAATGGCGATGTGGCGCAGCATCAAGCCGGTGGCCGGTCTGCAGGCGCAGCGATACGGCGGCGAGTTTGTGGGTGTGGTCCTAGAGCTCGGGTGCAGTTGTGGATGATCTCCAGTAGAAAAATGCCGAGCTCATCGAGTCGCCTGTACTTGAAGAAGAGGCGAAGAGGTGAAGAGGCAAAGACGAGATGCAAGGGCCTTGGCTTTTGGGCTGGTGCTGTCATCGTGATCTCCTGAGAATAAGAGTAAAGAGGCAACGATCATAGCTGCTCATATGAGCTGCTAGCAGCAGCCTCGGTATTGGGGTTTTGCCTGAATACCTGACTTTGCTTCTGAGATTTGCTTCTGAAATTTGCTTATGAGACTTGCTTATGAGATTTGCTTATGAGATCGATCGCAAGGGGTCAGGGTGGCGGAGTGTAGTACGATACTTGACAAATATCGTGACATACCCTTTTGTTCTCGTAAGGAAGCCCCTATAAATAGACGCAAAGTGTGTCAGGTGTTGCTTTCAAGTTTATGGCGAATAATTTGAGGTTGTTGCACTTTTTGCCCATTTTAACGCTAGTGGATCAAGGTGTTTTTATCGAAGAAAAGTGATTTTAAGCGGAGGTGGCTATCATCTGGGATAAAAGGTGGGGTTTGGCAAGAGCAGGCGGCTCGGGGTGGTGCTACAGGGGTAGGTCACCACAAGTTTCTTGACTCTGCCCTGACTCTCCGCTGATTCCAGGCTGACTCTGCCCTGACTCTGCCCTGACTCTGTCCTGAATCTGCCCTGGCTCTGCCCTGACTCTGCCCTGACTCTGCCCTGACTCTGCCGTGACTCTGTCCTGACTCTGCCCTGGCTCCATGTTGGACCCATGCTGCCAACGCCCTTGCCATGTCCTGACTACTGGCTCGGGTCCTTGTCTAGTCCCCATGTATACCCTGCTGCTCCTGCCATGCTGTCTCTATGCCGGCAGTATACTGGCACTCTGCTCTCCTCTTCAATCAGTGACCCCTTATTATCGCTCGCACCAGGAGCAACTTTTGCGATCAGCCCTGCCCACAAGAACGCCTGAAGTGCACAAAAAGTTAATGTCGAAGATTATGAAGAAGTGATAATCTCGCATACGGAGACCTCTGCTGAAAATGTTAAGAAAACGAAGAAGCTAAAAAGCGTAAGAAAAAAAAAGAGAAGGCCAACAGCACCATGTATTCCCATCTGGTCACCCACGATAGTACTAGCATGGCCCAACATGGCTTAACTGCGGCGATCGGACGAGAGCCGGTGTATTCCATGTGGTATGACCGTTGGCGATAAGCTTACGACATAATTTTAAATATATAGATCCTTTTCGATGTCTTGGCATGGCATGGCACCTTGAAGCCCAACGAGCCACGATCGCACAGATTGATGATCGATTGCCAACACAGATTTAGTCTGCTGCACGGTTCTCATGTGGGCAGCAGGGCGATGGGCATGGACAGAAGGCTAAACAGCGTGCGAGTCTCAAAGCCAGTTGGTTCTACGCGCCAACCAACACTAATAAGAACGGCTAGCGAGCTCTTCCAGCGTTTGATCTGCTCGGCTCGAATCAAGGTTTGAATTGCTATTGAAGCGCATGGCCAACCTGAGTGATTGCGAGGCCCAAGATGGCCAAGACTCCCACTACATTATTTTAACATGCGAACAAAGCAAGAATTTAAGCGCATTCACCATACCTCTGTCACATTGCCCTTCGTAAGAGCCCGGGCAGGCAGAGGCGCTAAGCAGCTCAGCAACAATCTAAAGCCGTCCCAACGGGACGATGAGACGTACAAAAGCAAAATATTCAGAACCGGCCAAAGGTGTATGCATATCGTACCTCATAACTGAAGCTAAAGTTGCCATAGTGGGACACAAGTGGACGGGACCCGTCCTATTGGGCATTTGCACAGATGAAGTCAAACCAAGTGAAAGGCACTGCGGCATGAACTTGAACAGGAGGGTGCTTGAGCCAGGATTACTCAAGATGGCCCGGAAGGTGCAGTCAAAGACACCAGAGCAGACGTTTGTGACACTTGCGTGCGCCATTTCGCTTCAAGCAGACGTACATTGGATCTGGTATCTGCGTTTGCACCGTAGTGCAGCAAGGTCTGAATCACCTTTAAAAAGTGGTTTTTACAAGTCCTGTACAGCGCGCATACTTTGTGCAGCGGGGTGTAGCCATGCTGCCAGGCACGGGCATAGATGGATGCATGTCAATGTGAGCGGAGTTTAACTTGCGCGTAAAATATGAGGCTGAGATGGAGAGGCAAAGAGGGGCACTTGGCAAACAAACCTTGTCCTTGGCTTCAATATCAGCTCCATTGTCGAGCAGCAGCTGTACAAACTGAACACAGTTGCTTTCACAGGCCGCATGCAGTGGCGTGTTTCCATCCTAAAGGTATGCAAAGCACCCATCCCCTTGAGTAATCTGCTTTCAACCTCGTTCCCAGTGACGCACTGATGCACAGGGCCATGGCAACAAAGGCGTGACGAGGGCTTTCAAGTCCCACTGCTAACTTGATCTCTGGCGTCAACTTGAGCGCCATGTTCCAAAAGAACTTTGGCCACTGAGAGTTGATGGACATGATGGCGGCCTGGATGAAGGGCACTCTTGCCAAACTGCAAGGGCATGACCAAGACAGCCATGAGCTTCTTTGATGGATTACTGCTTCTGTTTTGCAAGATAGCGCGCAAAAAGACATGCCCAGAGGTCGAGTGGTGGAAGCAGGAGGTCATGCTCAAGATTGCAGGAAGAGATAACAATGCTGACCTGGTCTTTGGCGTCAAGATGGGCACCGTGCTTCAGAAGAACCTTGACCACCTCGAGATTGTTGTACCGGCAGGCCACGAGCAATGGAGTGTCGCAGAACTGCGATTCACAGCCATCAGTTGTGATTATTCCACAGTCTTAGTGAGAGCGCTGCTACTGTGAGGCCACGGGCGTGCGCAAACCAACTCAAGGACTGACAGAGCCTCGTGCGTTGACATCAGCACCGTGCTTCAACAGCTCTTCAACCATTTCCGTTCTCCCAAAATAACATGCGTCATGTATGGCTTTGTTCCCACCCTAGGGGCAGAGTTCAGTTTGCGCATTGGCATGGAGAAGCCGGAGCAGATAAGAAGACACAAACTCTGCACAGCAGGCTGAGAAAAGGGACGGAGATAGCACTGACGTCGTCTGCAATGTTAGGATCTACGCCATGCCTCAAGAGGATTCGCAGCACTTGCGCGTGTCCCTGATCGCAGGCTTCATGTAGCGCTGTTCTCCGGCTGTGGGGCGGCATGTTTCGCCACGAACAACTTGAAATCTTGGGTCACCCAAAAAAAAAAAAAAATAGATCAAAAATATACAGAAGTATGCGAGATAGGCACAGCAAGACAAAGGCATATGAGGCTGTCAGGGAGCGATGCACGCGCTTGAGCCCAGGCATCGCAAGCGAAAGAACAGGGGCATTGTCGGAAGGGGATAACGAACGTTGGTTTTGGCGTAGACATTGACGCCGTGCTTTAGCAGGATCTTGAGCACATCTGCATGGCCATGATGACAGGCATAGTGCAGTGCTGTTTGGCCGTCCTGAAAGGATTGTGTATTATTGTTCAGCCCCGATGATGGAGACCACATTGGGTGTCATACAGATCGGTTGGGCAAGACGAGACTGACGTTATCGGTAGCTTCTACCTCTGCGCCGTTTTTTAGTAGGCGCTTCACCGCGCGCGCGCGACCATGCTCACAGGCGGCAAGGAGAAGTGTTTGGCCAGGCCGCAGGCTTGGTAACTACCCAGTTAAACACGGGGTGGCATTTTCGACGAGACATTCCAAAGTCGCGGCGGCGTGGCGCGAATGTGATTAGCAAAACCAACCTCATCTGTACAATCGGCACTGTATTCCCTGCGAAAAGGCCACCAGCTGCCCAGCGCTGCCAGTGTCCCTTGTGCCTTGGCTGAACAGACACTCCAAAGCTGTTTCCTGTCACCTGCGCTCATGTTGACGGATGCTGAAGCGCGCGTGGCTGCCGGATCAGAAGCACATTATTGAATGAGAAAATGAGAAGATAACACCTCTGCCATTCAGCCGCTGCGAGCTCATGTAGTTGTAGCGCCAATGAGCAGTGATCCAAACCGGCTGCCAGCCCGCACTTCCCATTGGCTGATCAAGTCCCACTCACCTTGACACCTCGTTGAAAAAAATGAGAGAGAAGAGAGAAAACGAGACAAGAGACAGAGATAGAGAGAGCGACAGGAACAAAGGCAGAGACAGAGGTAGAGAAGAGACAAAGTCAGGGACGAAGAGACAAAACAGACAAAACAGAGACGGAGGAGAGACAAAATAGAGACAAAACAGAGACGGAGACATAAATAGAGACTCAAAAAGAGACACAAACAGAAACAGAGACACACAAAGAGATAGAGAGAGACCAAAAAGCGTGACAAGGCAAAAAAAGCTCTTGCCGATCCTTATAAGCAGAAAAGTGCCAGCTGTGCAAAAGAAAAGGCCTTACGTGCTATTTTTAAAAAGATACCGTGTTGGCACAGGCTCGTGGCGTCCATGAAAGGCAGTGACGAGATCATATAGCAGCGTCGACGTGGCAATCATGTCCTATCTTTAGCGAACATGTTGGAGGGCCGCGACAACATGACCGTTTTCGGGGGAGGATGCCACATTCGGGTCGATGTGAGTCAAGATACACGCATGGCCTGACGCATTGAATAGCGTTGAGTGGTCGTCCCCCAGCTCCTCTTCCCTGCCTCTGCCTCCCTCTGCCACTCGATGTCTCTCCCCCTGCCTCATTTTTCCATCAACATGTCTTTGATTTACCGGCGCTGTGCCTTTATTGAGTGGTGGGCAACGCATGCCTGGCAAAAATGCCTTTGGTAGCAGCGGTACAATTATAGCACCGTCACAAAAGACGCATGCATTTGATATGCATGCAGAGGAGCCAGTCGGCTCGGTTCTGGTGTCACGCAACACCAACGACTCGTTATAAAAAAACACGCACACACACACAAAATAGAAAAAACGGAAAGAGCAACGAAAAGAAGAAAGTGACCTAAAAACCAAACACAGCGAAGAAAAGCAAGCAAGAAAAACAAAAAAAAAAAAAGGCACCTGCTCTGGGGCGTGGACACGACGGCAATGCTAAGCTGGCATAGCGCTGCTGGCTCATCGCAAGGGTGGAACCATGCGCGCCGTCTGTCGGCGCGGGGCATCCGTCTTGGCTTGCGGGGCTAGATGAACAATTTTGGGCTGGTCCACCGCTGGGTTGTCATCGCTCGTAGTGGTGGCAGCAGCGACCTCGTAGGCGATGGGGTAGTGATCACTCACGGCCTCTGCTCGCTCTTGATCAAAGTTAAAGGGAGCGGCCTCGGTATTAATGATACCAGATTGCAGAATGCGGCTACCAATGTTGCCAAAGGTGACGATTCGATCGTAGGGGCACACCGAGTTTGTGGAGGTGGTGTCGGCGCTGTCGTTGATGAGCACGGTATAGGGGCTCTTGAAGATGGTGACCTCCGCTTCCTTATCGGCCGGCAGGTAGGAGCAGCCGGCATTAAAGTCACCCGCCAGAACGGTGGGCTCAACTCCGGCATATTGGGTGGCAATCTGGCGGGCTTGATCCAGCGCCGAAAGCTCAAGATAGGTGGCGTCAGAGCTTGGCTTGGCATGCAGAACCAAAACCTGGAAGAGGCCAGCAGAGGAGGCAAGACTGCTGGTGACCGGGTACCGGGGCGACGAGGGGCCACCTGGTGTAATCAGCGGTGCTTCGCCTCGCAGCGCAGCAGGCGTTGAGCTGCGGTTGCTGCTTCCCGGGGTCAGCACTTCCACGATCGCAGCCATCGGAGGCCGTTCAAAGGTCTCGGACATGTTGAGAGCAAAGGCATCATGCACGCGGATCCGGGCAGGGCGATACACAAAAGCATACTGCTCCTTGCTGCTCGTCGTGCCTTCGCGCGGGCCCGTAATGTTGATGTATTGCAGAGCGGTCGGTTGATTTTCATTGAGCGCGTCCATGAGCGTGGCCAGGGCCTCGCTGGAGGCGTCCCGGATCTCTTGAATGGCCACAAAGTCAAAGTTGTGGCAGATGGAGACGATGTCCGCCATCACATCGGGCTTGCTGGCCTTGGTCTCGCCAAAGACCTGGATGTTGAAGGCGGCCAACGTCGCCGTCGTGCGGCCTGCGGCCAGCCATGGGCCGCCAATCGTCAACACGAGGACCACCGTGAGGCCGAGCTTGCCACACACACCCTGCCACCGCATCGTCTCTGTGAAAATAAGGGCCGTAAAACCCTGAATCAACGCACAACCCTCAGACCGCCCGCTGTCTCGGGTTGGAATGCCGACGCCGCCCACACACACACACACACGCGCGCGGAAGAGAAATGAAAACAGTCGTAAGAGACATGAAGCAAGTTATAGAGAAAAGCAGAGATATCGTTAACAAGAGAAACATTGTTAGAGACGATTGGAGTTATGAACCATGATCAGAGATAGAAGCTCTATCAGCCATTTTTATAACGTAAAAGTGATGCATAAATAGAGAGTAACCTGGATATAAAAGATAAAACAGGGACATGATCACATCTATCAAACAGATTCAGAGACTGAAACAAACATTACAGCTCAAGCCACAGGTTGTGCTCACAGCCAACCACCATGTCTTGCTCAAGCGACTCAACGTGTTCTCCAAAAAAAACAAGCTTTGTCAGCAAAAAACAAGCTTTGTCAGCTTTGTCAGCAAAAAGTCAGAAGAGAAGTAAAATACTTCTGTATCGACTTGCTCTTTCATACGTTCCCAGATTGCGGACAGACCGAGGCCTGCCCAGAAGGGGCGAGCTGATCTGGGTCTCGATAGCACTGGGCGTGGAGGGGCGCGGGGGGTGACCGGGGTTGTTGTAAAGTGCCTTACGGGCAGCGTCTTAAAACCGATGACAAGCAGGCTTGGCGCGGTCAGGTTGTGAACAGTTTGCGAGGAGTGACGGGTCTGAAAACGGTGGACGACCGACACCATGCCTCCGAGAGCTTCAGGGCACATCTCGACAGGATCAGCTAAGACCCAACAGGTGAATTGACGCGCCGTACAAGTCTCCTGCCACTGGCCCCGTCGTGCCCCGTGTTGATCTTTGCCCATGCGCAATCAGTCGCCGGGCGTGGGTCAACGTGCTTTGGGTTTTAGGCAATCTAACCTTTGCCTCGTGCCGCAGGCCCAACGACGCAGGCGCGCTGACCAGGCCTTTGAGCTGTTCCAGCTGGCATTGCAGATTCATCGCGGCAAAGCGTCCGCAGAAGCATTGGAATCGCTGCTTCAAGAGCATGGAGTCTCCAACATCACGCGAAGCACACTGACAACCCTCTTCCCGTCTAGTAATGGTCGCGCCCCGTCCAGCCGTGCGGTTGCACACCTGTACAAAGTCACGGACAAGGAAATACGTGCTGCTCGAGGACGGGCGGTCCTTGTTACGCCACGCCACGATGGCCGGACAATCATGACAGCAGCAGAGCGCGAGCTACTGGCCCAGCACATTGCTGCCTCTGCACAGGACAGTTTGCCCGAGAGGCGGGCGCATGTTGCCAGCGTCATGCGCGACCTGCTAGAGATACGGCGCGAGCTATTGGAAACGGCCAAACGCAACAACTTGCCCGAAGCTGCCCGGATTCCCGCGTTGACGCAGCGCGAGCGCTCCTTCCTGGCTCGATGCGATGGGCCACGCGCCTCGAGCAAAAATTCGCAGCGCACACCCCTGCGAGAACACTGGTTTGAAGCATGGGAGCATGAGTATGGACTCGATTTGAAGAGTGCACGGCCTCAAACTTCGTGCGGAGGATCCGTCGCGGCCCACCTGCACTGCGGCGCACTCTTTGATGCTTTTGGCAAGGCCCTGCAGAGCCTCGGATTCTTGGACTCTTCTGGACCCCAGGCCGGGTCGATTCGCAACAACCGTACGTGTTCGCTGGCTTCGTTTCGGTGCTATGTGTAGCCCTCAGTGCTCATGCCTTGAACCTTGCATTATTCTCTTGGCGTGGCAGGCCTGTGCCACATCTGGTACGTCGACAAAATGTCTGGTCTCGGAACTGGCTTTGAAGCGTTGCATACCACCGCCAGCAACGACCAGCACTCGGATCCAGTAGCCATGGCTGGGAAGACCCACAACTGCGCCGGCACCGTTGTCACCGCCATTGCCCTTGGTGGGGCGCTGGCCCCACCCCTGTTCATCCACAAGCAAGCTACACTGCCTGCCGACACGGTTGCTGCCTCCGTCGACCTGCCGGCGACGCTCGTGACCGACACGAGGTTTCAGCACTTTGCCAGTTGTGCCAACAAGACTGGCTGCGTCACCCGCCGTCTTTTCTTGGCGTTTTGTCGCCGACTCCGCGCCTTTACGGGCCACACCGAGCCCCTTCTTCTCTTGTGCAATGGACGTCAACCGTACATATCAGCCGCGCTCTTGACATACTTGCGCACCATCAACATTTTTCTCTTTGCGGTGCCTTCACAGCCGGGTGGCTGCCTGGACCCGGGTGATCAGTGGCATCAGCATGTATCCCGCGATCGTCTTTGCAATCTGGCTTGCACGTTCTCCTTCGCAGCCGGTCAGGCTGTCACGCTCACGGAGGAACACTGTGCACTCTATGCCGCCATTCAGGAGCAGAGCCACCACCCCGAGCGCATCGTTGCTGCATGGGCGGCAGCAGGCATTACTCGAGCGCACTGGGGCTGGGAGCTGGCCAACAATCCACTGACTGAAACTGCATGTGAGATGGATCAGCAGAGTTCCTCCTCGGCTGCACGACAAGCATCCCCCGTACCAATGCCAGATCCCGGTCCTCTAGACCCAGCAAGCTCCCCGCGCACTTTGCTTTGCTGGGCCAAGGAGGCATACGACTACATTCAAGCCGCTCGACCACTTCTGGAACGTTGTGAGCAGCTTGAGCGCAAACTTGGAGAAATTGAAGCTGCGGCCATTCACGAGCAGAACAAGCGGGTTAAGGTCATGGATTCTGCCTCGGACTTACCAGTCCGCATTGTCCAGACTTCGGCTGATCCAGAGGCGCCTTGGGGTGATTTTGACGCGTCTGTCAACTGGGTGCAAACCGAGGATGAGCCGGACGACGGCGTCTACCCCTCGTTTGACTTTTGGCATCGAGACTTGCCAGACACGAACCCCTCCACAATGGACGAGCCCTCTGCGGCAACATCTCTGATGCCGCCGCCGTTTGCGGAGGGTGATTTGGATCAGCATGAGCTTGCGCAAATCCTGCAAGCGTGTGAGCCGGCTACTCGAGCTTATCGGAACCGCGTGCTCTGTCCAGCAAGACAAATAAGACAAGAGCCTCAGCCCACCGGGAATTGACGCGTGAGACGTTTAAAACGTTGGGGTTGCTCTTCTAAGGTGTTGGTCCCCCTCTCCAAAAAAAAAAAAAGTGTCGCGTAGGGAGGGATGACTACGACAGGAGCATGCGATCATTTCATTCACGATATTGGTGAGTTAGAGGGGCACACACACACACACACACACACACACACAAACTCGGCTATGACCCGCGCGAAACGACAGCGCCTGCACCAATACACATGCACATTATACCCGCCGCACGGCTATGGCCCGCGCCCGCGCGAAACGCTTGAACGGCTCGTCACACACACACACACACACACGACAATAACACACACACACACAATTTTATCTGACAAACACCGACCATTTGTCAGACAATTCGAGCGCGCGCGTTGAACCGACAATCGGCGGCGAGCGCTGACGACAATGACGACGATGCGCTGCTTCTGGGTGGTGCTTGTTGGCAGTAGTCTTGCTGCCTGGGCCATGGGTGTTAGTGATGATGAGCCGGCCATTAGCGTGGGTGCAGATGGCACGTTGTTCATCAATGCCAGCAATCGCGTTGTTGTGAACGGTGTTGATGTCCTGGGCGTGATGAAGAAGCTGGCCGTCGAATCAAACCCTCGGCTGGTGATGCAGCCGCTTGAGAGTCACAACATCTCGACAGACGCCGCGTATGCGCGCTCGGTATATGCAACGGACCTGGACAGCGACGGTCACCTCGATGTCCTCAGCGCAAGCCAAACAAACAATAGCATTGCCTGGTACCGCAACAACGCCGATGGCACCTTTTCTCCGCCAAAGATTATCACCACGGATGCCGAGAGTGTAAGGTCGGTCTACGCGGCAGACCTGAACGATGATGGCCATATCGACGTTCTCAGCGCTAGCTGGGACGACAGCAAAATTGCGTGGTACCGCAACAATGGTGACGGCGCTGTGTTCACACAGCTGGTCATCACCACAGACGCCGATGGTGCGCGTGCCGTGTATGCGGCAGATCTGGACAATGACGGCGACCTGGACGTCCTTAGCGCCAGTGCTGACGATAACAAGATTGCTTGGTACCGCAACAACGGCAACGGCAACTTTTCCGCACAAAGGGTCATCACGTCAGATGCAAACTTTGCGCTTTCGGTGTATGCGGCAGACCTGGACAACGACGGTCGCCTCGACGTCCTGAGCGCAAGTGCGGCCGACGACACGATTGCATGGTACCGCAACAACGGCAACGCCACTTTTTCCCCTCGGATCAACATTACTACAAATGCTTTCTATGCGACCTCCGTGTACGCAGCAGACCTGGATAATGACGGCGACCTCGATGTCCTCAGTGCCAGCTACAATGACAACAAGATCGCTTGGTACCGCAACAACGGCAACGGCATCTTTTCTACCCAGATTGTCATCACCACAGACGCCAACCGCGCCATCGCAGCGTATGCAGCCGATCTGGACAATGACGGCAACCTCGACGTCCTCAGCGCCAGTGACGAAGACGACAAAATAGCGTGGTACCGCAACAACGGCGACGGCACCTTTTCCACCCAGATCGTCATCACCACTGGCGCCAATGGGGCGCACTCGGTGTATGCAGCGGACTTGGACAGCGACGGCGATCTGGATGTCTTAAGCGCCAGCCGCCACGACAATAAAATTGCTTGGTACCGCAATCATGTTCAGCAAATACTTTTCAATTTGTAGTCGACGAAGATCAACGCCTGCTTGTGCTTGTGGGGCTATAATTACCGCAGCTTTCATCACCATCACCCCGCATAGCACATCAATGTAGGCAGGCACAGACACTAGTGCAGTCATCAGACACTTACACCGTTGCAGAGGCAACAGTGATGCACGAAACGACAAAATGCCTTGAGCCCAATGCCAGTCTTCCCGTTGCTCCAATGTGACCCAAACTCTCACAATCGCAACTCCGCTGTTGCCATCATCAGACTATGGTTGCGACTAGTTTTTAGAGGCGCAGCACAGCCCTTGGATTTTTTATTTTTTATTTTTTTTATTTTTTTATTTTTTTTTTGATCTCCTTTGGTGGTTTTTTTTTTTTTGGATCGTATCGACAAAAGAATTTGACACATGGCGCGAGGCTGATGGGCGTGCAACAGTCAACAGCCCAGGAGTGCAACAGTCATCGAATCATCTTTCGTTTTGGTATTGACAAGGCAAACAAGCCCCGTCTGTGCTGCAATGAAACACACGGCAATTTGATTCCAAGGCTCTGCAAGGATTATTTTGACTTTTGTCAAGCGATGTCAGTTTCAGCCATGTCAACGCTGCATGACCGTGCCCAAGGTACAGCAAATCCCCAAAAACCCCAGCGCCGCCATCTTCAGCAAGTGAGCAAGGGAAGAACGGCGCGCTCCCTTATTCATGATCGCAAGAGATCCTTTTTCTCCCATAATACTTGAAGCCGGAAAGTCATCAGGGGTCAATTTACATCAGATGTGACTGCCTCAATTGTTGTCATTTTAAAATTACTGCTCGTCTGACCCGGTCTCGCTCGGGCTGTCAGCCAAAGGACTGTGACTCGAGGGAAGATCCAGGCATTCAGCATATGTGTGATTGTCTAGCAATGCCCCAAACGTGGGTTGTCAAAGGCAGCCAGTGAGCTTTGACGAGTTGAACCACTGACATTGTGGAAAAGCCAGACCTCCAGGTAAAAGGGGGGAACGAGTGAACCATGCGCAACTGGGCAAAGTAGCGTTGGGGTCTGAGCCAACTTACGCCTTTTGGTCCTTATGGTCCTCATGGTCGTTTTGAAACATGGCGTATTTGGCGCCACGCCGATGGCGACGAACATACATGACTCCCAACACGGCAGCCACGGCCACCACGACCACAGACCCCACAGTTGCCGCAACAATAGCGATGCTCTTTTTCCTAGGGCTGCTAGACTCGCTTGTGCCTTTGAAGACAGGGCATGCGATGCAGTGAGAAGGTATGATTTGCTTTATTCGTTTAATTTCACATCACCACGCTGATGAACACAGTATATGACTTACCTCTGCTTGGTGTCGGGGTGGACATTGGAATAGTCGATGAGTGAAGGTAAGCTGCCGAAGTCGTGGTTGTTCCTAACGTGTGACCAGGTGTGGGCATTGAGCGTGAGCTGGGGTAGAGCGAACTTGTACCAATGCAAGGCGTAGGGTGTGGGCTGGAGCCTCGAGTTGAATGCGCGGGCAGCGATGTACCAGGTGGCAATGGCGTCTTACCGGAGCCTGAGCTTGGGTTGGTTGATGCAGTTGAACCAGCTGTCGAAACAGGGTATGACCCGGTCGGCGCAATGGGATGTGTCCTTTTGTGACAAACGTTGGCTGCCGAGTCAATTTGAAAGTCGTGTGCAGGCCAAAACGCTGTCTTTGTGTCAAAGCCCGAGACACAATTGCCCGGCGAGGTCCAATGAAGCCCCATTGCTGCACCCATTGTTGCTTCGGTCCAGTAGGCAGTGGATACGTTAAAAATCAGGGTTTCGTTGCTGGATAAGCGGTCGCGGTGGCTCAAAAGCATCAGGGTGCCGTTACGTCCCTCCGAGGCCAGCTCGCCAAACGCGGAAAAGTCGGTGGAAGACCAGTACGCCGTGATTGAGCTTGTTAACCTCACTTGCTGCACCCCTAGTGTCAGACCAAAAGGAGTGCCGTTTACTTGTCCAATCGTGTCAGCGTGTACTTCTTTCTTGGTTGAGTCGATTTTGGCCACGCCCGACACATCCACTGTCGTGGGACCCAGGTTGAGCGACATGTTGCCGCCGATCCACTGCACCGACGAGACTTGCAAGCGGCTTGCATTGACTGATGCACTGTACGTTTGCTGGTGCAAGCCAGCGACACTCCAATTGGCCATCATGGCTTGTTGATCCCGCACATCGTAGGCTAGAGCACCGCTCCACAATGCGGATGATGGTGAAATGCCAAACGGCGGCGCACGGGGCATGGTGGCTGCGAGACCTGGGCTTGATTGGGAGAGAGACCGCATATCAAGATCCGAGACATACATCATAACATGAGCCTCCTGCCAATTGCTTGCACACCACACTTTGGAATCCCATTGGTGGGAGTTCCAGTAGCCCGTGCACGCTACCTCCGTATGATTACTTGGACTGTCAAAGGTAAACTCTGCATGCAGCAGATCGTCATTCAGCCGCGTGGTACCAATAATGCTTGCAGCTGGACGGTGTTCATCAAGCTCCACGCTCCAAACTGCTCCAACATTAACAGTGGACGTGTTGGCGTCAGCGGAAGTGCCGATGATCCATTTCCCAGCTCCAAGCCATGAGCTCATCAGATTGAAATGAATCGTCGCCGTTTCATCATCATTCCACCGCAAAGTCATATTGAGGTCCTCTGCCCACTTTTCCACCGGACCTGATTCATCCGTCACGCTGCCGGAAATGTCGTGATGGAACTGATGATTTACACTGCTTTGGAAAAGAACCTCGGTCACATGCCCGTCGATGACTCGAACAGCCTGGGTATCAAACAAAGCCGAGTCGAACGAGCGAGTCGCTCGAGCAATGGCTGTGACATTGACGTCATCTACGGTGACAGCACTCCAAAATGCGACCTGGCCAGCTTCATCATTTGTGTCAACAAGCATCATCAGACGGTCATGAGAGTCTGCAGTTATCACCGCTGCATGCCATTCAACTTGTTGGTCATCGTCCTGCCATAGCATGGTGGCGTTTGATGTCCACTTGCTATCTTGCTGTTCCAAATTGGCCAGTACACGGGCGGAAGTGTAGAGGAGGCCATCTGATGATGCATTGACTTGTGTGGTCAGTGCCAGCTGATTCTTCAGCCTGTCCCAGTCCAAGTTGACTGACCCATCCAGCATGCTCGTCATGCGACCGTCGGCTCGGGCCCTGCGCCAGAGCGCATCAAACACTGCGTTGAGCCAACGTGATTTCATGTGCGGCACTGCCTTGGAAAAGTCAAAGGTGCCCGCCTGCAGGGTACCGGAGTATGCTCGGCGGTTGCCGTCCTCTGTGATGGATGCCGAGCCGTACTGCTGCAGCTGTGCATCGTCAAATCGGACGCGGGTACTCCACGTTTCCAGCGATTGAGATATATCGTGCTCCAAATCCAGCTCGGTGTCGTGCTTGCCCAGTACTGGGCCATTGGTGATGGTGGTCAGCTGAGCAGCCTGGCGGCGCCCTTCTTCATCTTGTAGCACACCAGTGGCTTGTGCCGTCAAAACATTGCGATGCTCGTCCCACGTAAGGTTGAACGCCACAGTGCCGGTGCCCCGAGCGTCGAGATTGGCAGAGGAAAGTCGGTTGCCTCGAAAGTTTGCCACGTCACTGTAGCTGAGCGCGCCGTACCCGAGCGAGGAGGCTGAAAGCCCTTGAGCGGTTGGACCATCCAGCCTTGTCAGGTTCAGGTCTAGACGACCCGAGGTCAGCTCTGGTCCCATCACGACGCTGCTATTGAGCTGAATATCATCCCAGCGCATTAAAGCATCTGCCCACGGCTTGTGGGACGGCACGATGACTACGCGGGCCTCGGCACTGTGAGGACCCAGTGTGGAACCCTTTGTCAGCAGGCCTAGGTCCAATGTCCCCTGGGCGCTGGCGTTATGCGCCCACGGCTCTACGCCCTGGGCAGAGAGGCGAAAGAGGTCTTGATGCTTGTGCCATGCCACATCTGCATCCAGGCTGGCCTGCACAGCACGAGAACTGTGCTGCCAAAAGCTGCTCAGCTCCGCATCGACAATGTCACCAGGCGAATGCCGCGAAGCATTGGTAATGAGCCTGACAACTTTGCCGTTTCCCTGAAGGGATAAATCAGTAAGCGAAGTAATGTCATTCCATGTCACGTTGGCTTGCAGTCCCTTGTGAGCTGCACGCCACGCGGAGACGCCCTGGGCAAGCAGGTGCTGGTCATCCGCCTTGATGCTCATGGCGGTAGAGGCTTCATAGTCGGGTGAAGCGGCGTCAACCAGAGCATTGCAATTGGCCTCAACTGTTGTTGGAGCTGTCGGGGAGGAGCGTATACGCAGCGCCGATGATACATTGATGGCCGAAAGATGATGAAAGTCACAGAGGAAATGACCATGGCTTGAGCTTGGCATTGCAAGCCACCGACCTTCAAATGTGCGCTTGGTGGGGACATTGGTTAAACGCAGGGACACATTTTGGATACTAGAGGAGCGCGGGCCCGTCACAACCATATTCAAAGGCCAATCCATACGCTTGGGATCGAGTGTTGTGGACAGATTTGCCAAGTAACCCAGGCCTGCAAAGCTCCCCCATGCTCGATACTGGTCAGTGGCGTGCGGCACCGGGGCATCATCGTCGTCTACATCATCGTCGCTCGCATTCTCATCATCATCATCATCAACATTTGGGGCCGGTGCGTCATCGTCGTCGCTGACAAAATCATCATCGGAGGTAGCGGCCAAGACAGCTGTCTTGGCTCTATCCAACATTCTATGGGTCTGCGAGGCGCTGCTTGCGACGTGCACGGCTCCAGCATCAACGAACACGTCATCAACAGCAGATTGGATATGATAGATCGACGCTGCCTGATCAAGTTGGACGGCGAGGGACGCAGAATGAGAGGGGTCAACGTATGTGGCGGAAGCGTTGACAAACAGTTGTTCCTGATTGTCGCCGTCGACTGAGATCAATAAACCATTTGAGCGGTGTTTTTTGTAGGCGGCGATGGCTTCAAGAGCAAAAGGGATGCCCGCTCCTGTTGAGCTGACGTTGAGCTCAACAACACTTGTTGTAAGCCGCCCGAAACCCTCAAATTGAACGTCCCACGCTGGGATGTTGCTACTAAGATTGAGGAAGCGCTCGTCCTCGATGGAATTAAAGCGACCATCGAAGAAGATCTCAGCCACGTTGGTGATGTTAAGGTGACCAAGGGCGGACGTTGTCGTGGGCTGGGTCAATGCTGCCTGCAGCACCCGTTTATTGCCTCGAGAGACATTAAGAGTAAGGTCAGTGACGGAGTTGCGAGGAAAGTCGCCACGCACTTGCAGGTGTATGTTTTGAAAAGCGGCATTCCTCAGTGTTTCAAAAACAAGTTGACCTTCAAGCCGTTGCGTGCCATTGGAAACTTGATGCCAACGACCGCCTGCTCTGAGCTCAAACGGACTGCTCAGGCCTGGGCCATCGTTGGTGAGGACCAAGTGAGCTTTTTGCTCGTGCTCATCGTAGGTCGCAACGAAGGTCGTGTTGAGCAGCCAATTGTTTTTTGTTAAGCGCAGGCCCAAGACGCCAGGCAGCCGGTCGAAAGTTAGCGTGGGCCAAAAGGCTCCACCAAAAAGGTCGACAATGGAACGGTCATCCCACTTGGCATGAAGCTCTCCACCGTAGAGACGTTGATGTTCGTTGTGAGAAGCAGCACGATTCCAAACAGCACACAGGCGTTGCGAAAAGCGGGCGTCAAAGGACACGTCCAAGCAATCCGCCATCAGAGCTGCTTGGACGTCACTCGGTAGGGCTGGCGACGGTGTGGAGTTTGAGTTGACGAGAGCAACGAGAGAGTTGATGGGTGAGGCACGTCCGGTTCTGGCTCCGTTGGGGGCAGCCCAAGCGGCATCCGCCCAAAAGTCTCCCAGGCCGGTGTTCTCAAGGGATGAGCGGGCAGGGTCGGAGATATCGCTGTGAGAATCCGGTTGTCGAAAGGGTAGCAGGGCTGGAGGTACAGTCACAACGATGTCGTGGTCGAGACTAAGGAATCGACCCCAGAAGGAACTGCGGCTTGTCTCGTCCCGCGAGTCGGTGCGAAAGTCGAGCGTTAGATTTGCATATAAATCACGAACCAGCTGCACGGCCTGGTCGGTGTGGGTGAGAGCATCCCGGCAATTGTCGCTGGCGCAGTGCACGTCCAGCAAGCCAGATGCGCAGATCTCAATCCCTGTTGAGCTCAAAATATCAGTGTCGAGACCCTGGAGCGTGACCTCGGACATGTTCAGCACCTGACCTTGTGCAGTGCGTGCAGAGAGCACAAATCCAGTGGCCGGCAGGCGAAGGACCAGACTATCAAGCATCGACAAGAAGAGCGATGGCATCTGAACGGAGACGGGCAGAAGACAAGTGGGTTTGGCAGGATGAGGCTGCACGTGTTTTAGCAGGCTGTTGATGGCTGCTTCGACGTCGGCGGCGAGGGTTGTTGAATTTTGTGCCGCTTTCGCTTCCGAGGAAGCCTTTTCATTAGCCAACGTGTGATCTTGATCTTGGGTCCACGGGTTGAGCTCGACGGTATCAAGGGTCCAGCTGAACGGCACCGGCACCACGTTCCATATGTGAATTGTCAAGTCCAGGGAGCAGGTGATGGCAAGGATGCCGTAAGTATCGACGATGAGCTTGGCGGCTATGCGACCTGGCTCGTCCTGCCTGTACGCCAGCTGCACTGTTGTGTTGCCACCTTGGAGCACATTGGGAAGCGGGGACGAGAGGACCAGATTGCCCAGGTCCAAGACATGTAAACTCAAAGTCGTATTTTGTGTCATCAACCTGGTGGCTTGAAGCGAACAAGTCACACCATTGATATCCGCAGCGTGTAACTTGGAGACGTAGGGGACATTCAAGGAAATGTTGAGAGCAAGGTCCTGGCCAGTGGCATCCAGACGAGCGTCGTGGGTGTTGGAACTGCGTGCTGCTCGGACAGCGGCCTGCTGTACGAACCAAAGCGAAAGACCGGTCGCCACCACTGTTCCCACCACCAGGATGCCGATGATCGTCAGGGTTCGAGTCCTAATGGCATGCCACCCATGAACGGGCCATGGACGTCAGAGCTTTTGCACGGGTGATTCAACGAGGTAGAGCACACGCCACTACCAACCAAATGCCACGGTGCTGGCGGCAGCCTCCTGTTTTAATCTCAAGCGATGAATCCTCGGCTGTCAGCAGGGGCAAGCCATCGGCTGGTGCCGAGACGTCGTCTGCCAGGCATGTTGCGCAAAAAGCCGCCAGTTGTGAACATGTTGTGTCGAGCCCGGCATGTGCGCCCATGACCAGCACGTACCGTCTAGCCCCATGCCGGTGGGGCTTGTGTGCTTGTCCGACGGTTCGAGTGAAGAAAGCAAGCAAGCTGAACCAATGGGTCAATATGAGGCGAGATGTTACCAGCACCAGTTTCCAATCAAATGCCGTTCCGGTCCCAAAGTCTCTTTGGGGGGAGAGCACTGCCAACAGCACCCGCCAGTATCTGGCACAGGCAAGCCACCAGCAGCTGGAAAGTGGTCCAGTGGCCATTGGTCATCAGAAGAAGAACAAGCCCTCAAGCTTGGTAGCAGTACGAGGTGAGTCCGCGTTTCATCACACAAGCCGTGGGTCCAGTGAAAATCAAAAGTCTGACTTTTGCATTCAAATTTCTTATGGAAAAAAAAAAAAGGATTGACTTTGACACTCGTGAGTCCGACATGCTTTCTGAGCAACTCTCGTGAGTCGGTAAGGTTGTCATGAGGCCCTCTGATGGCACGGGTACCTCGAATGGCACAGCAATTTGTGATAGCACGGCGATCTCTGATAGCATACACACCCTGATGTGGTGGACCCTTGTGATTTTGGCTGGCTTGAAACGTTGGTCTTTTCTTCTCATCATGAGAACATCTTCCCCTTTGATCAACCACTTCCTGTGCTTTACAACTGCTGTTCTGTCCAGCTCAAAACTCAAAATGTGTGGAAATCGGATAAGCGAGGGAGAGAGGAAAATGAATTGGTTCGCAGGGCATAAACAGAGAAAAATACCACAGGGAGAGCCAGAGAGCCAGAGACGGAGCCAGAGACAGAGACAGAGCCAGAGACAGAGACAGAGACAGAGCCAGACAGAGCCAGACAGAAACAGAGCCAGACAGAGCCAGACAGAGCCAGAGCCAGAGCCAGACAGAGCCAGACAGAGCCAGAGCCAGAGCCAGAGCCAGACAGAGCCAGACAGAGCCAGAGCCAGAGCCAGACAGAGCCAGAGCCAGAGCCAGAGACGGAGACAGAGACAGAGACAGAGCCAGAGACAGAGACAGAGACAGAGACAGAGACAGAGACAGACAGAGACAGAGGAATAGCACAACTACCACATGTAACAACAGGAAACAACACAGAAGGAGCATATGGATGGATGGGAGTGTGTGTGTTGATGTTTTATTTTTTTATTTTTTTTGAAAGATTGAGTGGAAGGGGGGGGTGTTGCATGCTTCACGCACACGGACGGATGGGGACCTTTTGGCCTCCCTCTCTCTCCCGGGGCCCCCCCCCCCCGCCTCTCTCTCTCTCTCTCCTCTCTCTCTCTCTCTCTCTCTCTCTCTCTCTCTCTCTCTCTCTCTCTCTCTACTCCCTCGCCCCTAACTTTCTTGGCTGTCTCACCTCTTTTCCTGGCTTCCTCTCTCTCTCTCTCTCTCGCTGTCCGCGCGCTCCTTGCTTTCGTGTCGGATCAGTCTCTAGGCAAAGTTGCGTCGAGATCGGCGGCCGAGATCGCTGCTCCTTTGTGCATCATCGGATGCTCTTGCTAGAGCCCCGATCCTTGTTGTGCGCTTGCGCTCGATCCTTGTTGTGCGCTTGCGCTCGATCCTCGTGGTGCGCTCGCGCTCGATCCATTCCACGCTGAGCCATGGCGGGAGCGTCAGCATGCATGCGCCTTGCGCTTGGCCTCCTTGCAATCATCGCCACTTCGGGCGTCAGCGCCATCGGACGAGGCCAACGGCCGCACGCCAAGCGGGCAGACGCTGGTTTCATGGACATGTCTCCTGTCATGGGCTTTGCCGAGGCGCCCGCCAAGACCGGCCTGGGCACCCCTGATCCCTTTTGTTACCTTCCTTTTTCCCTCGCCGAGTGGGACTTTCAGAACGACTGCAATGGCGAGCCGCAATTTCTTTCAGCCTTTTGTGAGGATCATGCCAACGTGAAGGGCGATGCTTTGGTCATGACGCTGGACAACAACAACTGCCACACCAGCTCCTCCGACTCTTGCCACGATCGCAAAACAGCTGGTGCTGCCTTTCAGTCTCGTGGTGCGTTGCTTGTTCCCTTTGTCATACCATACTGCTCCGCGCGTCTGTCTGTCCGTGCCCACCTCCATGGGATGCCAATCCCTGCAGAGGCCGTCCGTCATCACTTTTATGCACCTCCTCTTCATGTTCCTTGCAGAGTCGGTCAAGTATGGCAACATCACGTTTCGCGCCAAAATTGCTGGCGGTAGCGGCGTCACGACCACCCTGGTTGCCTATGGCAGTGCCAGCATCGGGTTTACGTTTGATGGGGGCAAGGGCAACTCCACCACCTTCAACGCCGGTAACGATTACTTTGGTACTTCTTTGCCATTTGATCCCTACAGCGGCTTTCACGACTATACCTTTGTATGGGGCCCGAATAGCACCGAGTTTCTTGTCGACAACATCTCGTATCACGTCCACAACTCGAGCGTCACTTCAGACAGCCTCTACATTTGGGCTTTTCTCTACGCCTGCGGCGCCTCGTATTGTACGCCCTTCTCGTACTCGGGCCCCACGGATATAGCCCTGGCCAGCGTGGCCTACACCCCGTTGGGTGAGACCCCCACGCCCAACTGCAGCAACCCACCTCAACCTCCTTCCTTCTGTGATCAGGAGCAGAGCCTTGGCAAATTCTACACCACCCAGACCGCCTGCTACCCCGCTGCTGCCACCATCTTCAATGCCTCCCTCTTTGGCTTCTGCGCCAGCCATGCCCTGGCCGATAACACGACAAGCTACCTGGCCATCCAGGCCGATCAGAACATGAGTTGTTATCTGCCCAACGATTGCCGCGGCCAGGCCAAGTATGCCGTGGGGCAGTGGCAAGGCCCCTCCTACGTGCACCTGGGCCAGCTCACCCTGGACCTGGCCGCCAACTCGGGGGACCAGTGGGGCACTGGAATTCAGCTGGGCGACGCCAGCAACAACGTTACCCTTCATCTGGATGCAGACGTTAAGCAAGCCTACATTGCAGTCAATGGCAACCAGCAGACCGTGTCCCTGAACTTTGACGCAACCCAGCGCACCACATATGTCATCCGCATCAGCTACACCAATGTGACTGTCGGCACGAACCAAGAAGAATTGGCCACCTTTCAAACACCCACCACCTTGCCACGCATGAGCATGACGATGCTCTTGTATCCACGCACAGCCATGCCCAATAACGACAGCGTGCCACAGGCCCGTCTCTATCGAGCAGCCTACACGGCCCTGGGTGACGCCGCGGCCAGCTGCGACCAGCCGCAGCTGACGCAAATCTGGTCACAGGATTTTGACGGCAGTGCCCTGGATGGGAACTGGACCGTCTACGACAACTGCACCCATGGTTCTGAGGAGGAACTCTACGTCTCCAGTGCCGTCACCGTGTCAGACGGCACGCTCAAGCTCACCGCCTTTTTGTTTGAGCATAATGAGACGGATCAAGCCGGTACGTGAGTCATTGAGAATTTGGAGCAAAGGCGTAGAAAACGAGCAATGCGCTAGTCAAGAAAGGGGAGGTTTCGACGCAGTGCGCTGGTTTCAACTGAGTGTGCTGGTTGCTCATGATGGGGTGTCCCCTGACGTTGTATGTACCTGGTTGCATGTATCCTGGTTGTTTGTTTGTCTGTATTTCTCGGAAACACACACACATACACACATACACCAAAAAAACCTAGGTCATAGTCATTTTGTGGGGTCCGGCTGGGTCGACACGGCAAGCAATCGCAGCAACTATGCTCTCAATGACTGCGGATCGAAGAACCCAGACGGCTTTTCCCTTCAATATGGACGCATCGACGTCAACGCCAAGATTCCCTCGGGTAGGTCCTGCCCAGCGCACAGTGTCGGCCGGGCGTTGCAGGAGACTTTTGCTTTGGCTCGCTCATAAATTCACGCGCTCTATGCAGGTCATTTCTGGCCGGCCATCTGGATGATGCCCGATGCGGATGTGTGCTGGCCTACGGGTGGGGAGGTGGACATTTTGGAAACAGATATTTGGCGGAGCAAGTCCCCGCCCTATGAAATTATTGGAACCTATCATTGGTCGTCTTCACAGTGCTATGCCAACTCGCAAAGCGGACAGGACTACGGGGGCTGTCCTGGGTGTGACTTTTCAAATAGCTTTCACACGTACTCGGTCGAGATGACGCCGCGCACGCTGACCTATTTGATTGATGATACGCCCTACCATACGGTCACGCAGGTCATGACCAGCGATACGCTCCCTCAGCACCCCATGTACCTCATCCTGGGCAACCAGATGTGGCAAGGCTGGAACTTTGTGGACGAACTGCCCGCTTCCTTTGAGATTGACTGGGTCAAGGCCTACCGTTTTCAATAAAGAGTCCCCTGTTTAAGGACAACCCTGTGTCGTCGTGTGCTAGCCTCACAGGTGTTTGGGGCCTTTTCTCCTACTTTTGTGCGTCAGCAAACGTGTGCGTGCGTGCGTGCGCGTGTGAGTGCGCGTGTGAGTGCGTGTATGCGCACGCGTCGAGCAAGGATTGTCCTTGTTCTTACCGAGCTGGATCAGACGGTCGCTCGGCCTTAGCTTGTTTCCATGTTTTTTTTGTTTTTCCCTCCTTTCCTTCATAGTTGCCGTTTTGATCTTTAGGCGTAGACGCCTTGTAATCGTTGAGTTTCGGAAATAGAGAAACCTCTCCCGCACTCGAGCGTTCACCTTCAAATGGCACAAGAACCCCCTTGCACAAACCCCCCCGAGTCGTACGTACCACACGGTCTTCAACCAGTCGTCGTTATCCCGGGCTGGCACCTGCCCCCTTCGCACACCGTTCCAGTTTGCGCCCACGCGGGTTTGACCGAAGAAAACAACATCAAACACTTGCATCCTTGCATGTGCTCCTCCCCCCTCTTTCTCTCGTCTCTCGTCTCTCTCTCTCTCTCTCTCCGTCTCTATCTGCGCATCCGCTTCCCTTTCCATATTATATCTGTACCCTACGGCCTTCTCGCCGCCTTCTCGCCGTCCCCGCTCTCTGCTTTCTCTTCTCTTCCATACACACACACACACACACACACACACACACACACACACACACACACACACACACACACACACACACACACACAATTGTCGCTCTCTCTCGTTGCAGATGTTTCTGTTGTTCTTACGTCTGACAAAGGACTTCTTGCAGCAAGTCTGAACTATTCAAGCTCTCTGCTCACATGATCGCTTTGACAGCTGCCTCTTGAAAAGCTATTGGGTTGGGCTAAATCTCTGAAATAGTGTTGGTATTCAATACCATTTTATCAAGTTTCCATTTGTTGTTTGCATATTCTCTGAGACGTGCCTGCGCAACAACACGCTCTCTTCTCTCCCTCCCGCTCTCTCTCTCTTCTCTCTCTCGTCTCTCTCTCTCTCGTTTTTTTTGACGTGTGAGTCGAGCAAATCGAGGGCAGTCAGTCCGCAACCGCTGGCTGACCCGACCTGCTGCGCTACCAGCTTGAGCTGGCAGGTGTAGGCAGGGGTGAAAAGCGAAGCGTTGGTACTCTTGTGCTGGGATATGTGATGAGATTGTGTGGCTTGTTCGGCCAGAGGCTGCCACACAACCACTGACAAACAACTGCTCTGGCGCTTTCCCTGCTGCTTGCAGATCACAGACAGCCATGACGACCGTCAATTGGACCCCGCCGACGCAGGCCAGCCCGGTAACATACCAGCGCAGCATGTTGGCCCTCTCTGCCCCCACTGCTGCGTCTGGCAGCCCCTCGAGTGGTGGCGGTGGTCTCTCGCAGGGAACACAAAAGGCTCTGAAAGTCGTCCTTGCCGGTACGTTCGTCGCTGCGCCATCCTGGGCACTATTCCATTTCTGTCTCAGCCAACTCCTTCTCCTTGCTCTGCCCCGGACAGGCGTGGCCGGTTTGATTGGCGTTGGTATCACCTATCCCTTGGACATGGCCAAGACGCGCCTGCAGGCTCAGCTGCGAGGCCAGGCCTCTGCCAGTGGCCGTCCACACTATCGCGGCATGTTGCACTGCATTTGGTACGCGCGCCAAGCCTGGGGCAATGCAGGCGCTTGCGTACCCAAATGTCCTTTTCCTTCTTTTTTCTCGCTACCTGCTAGCACATCCCGCCCTCATGCCGTTCACTCGATGAGGACTTCATTTTTTTTTTCTTGCTCTGCGTCGGCTCACAATGTGAACCATGTGCGTTAGGACGGTCGCAAAAACAGAGGGCCGCACTGGCGTTTATCGTGGCCTGAGTGTCAACCTCATGGGCGTGTTTCCGGAAAAGGCCGTCAAACTCAGTGTCAACGACTTTGCGCGCACTTATCTGGCCGATGAACATGGCAATGTGTCGACTCTCTCCGGTTGTTTCGCTGGTGCCCTGGCCGGCTTGTGCCAGTCGCCCATTACCAACCCCATGGAGTTGGTCAAGGTGCAGCGGTACGTGCATTGGAACACGGCCTGCACAGGCTGCTACAGCACTACCTACTCCCAGTGATGCCCCCTCTGCGGTACCACTTATCATGCATGTCCAACGTCCGCCTTTTAGCATGACCGCAATGGCTGCCAAGAAGACGGGTGGAGGTACAGGCCAGGTGGAGACCCTGAGTCAGATGCTCAAGCGTCTCGGTTTCCGTGGCGTGTATACCGGTATGTATATTCCACCGCCTGTACCCTCAACCCTCTTTTCAAGCCACCGATCCAGATGATATCGGTTTTGTGTGTGTGTGGTTTGATGAGCGAATCGCTTCCACGCTGTTCCTTGACAATTTGTCAATTTTGTGGGTGCGTGCAAAGGCTACACTTCGACCATTATGCGTGACATTCCCTTCTCCATCCTGTTCTTCTGGAGCTACGGCGCACTCAACGACTCGTGGGCGCGCCCCTACCCGGGCGCCGAGCCGGACACGCGCAAGTCTTTTGTGGCTGGTCTCTTTTGTGGCTGCGTGGCTGCCGTCCTCAGTACCCCCATGGACGTTATCAAGACAAACCTGCAGCTCAAGGACACTGAGCACAAATCAATCCGCGCTGTCGCTCGCAACGTGTATGCCAACTACGGCCTGGGCGGCTTCTTCAATGGCGCTAGTTAGTCATAGCGCCTGCCTCGCACCCTGCCACATGTTAGGCAATCGTAGCGCGGCTCGTTCCATTTGATCTCACGCTGTCTCGCTGATGTGTCGCGCGCCCGTCCCTCCAGCTCCCCGTGGTATCGCCATCGGAGCTCTGTTTGGCTTTGCCCAGCTGGCGTATGAGGTGCAAAAGATTGTGATTGCCCGTTATGGCGCTGCAGACGACCAGTAGCATTTCCTTCCGCGTTCATGTTCTTTGTTTCTGCTGTCTTGTCCATCTCCGTTTCTTCCCCCGAGTAAACTATCGACACCTGCCAACCCTTGTCTCGTCTTTGACCGTTCTGTTTGTGGAATACGGGGGCGGGTGTGTTGTCGTGTTGTCCACTGGCTTCAGAAGCACAAGCGATGTTTTTCCTGTTCGGTGTTGCCGCGATCCCTCATTCAAACTTGTGTGAACAAGAAAAAAGAAGAAAGAATAACGCTCAACTGCTTTTAACACACACACACACACACACACACACACACACACACACACACACACACACACACACACACACACACACACACACACACACACACACACACACACACACACACACACACACACACTTACACACACACACACACACACACACACACACTTACACACACACACACACACACACACACAGCGCGACGAGATGGCAGCACGGGAGGCGTCAGCGGCCGCCCGTCCAGATTCACAGGCAAACAGTGCCCATAATGATGGGGGGGCGTCTAGGGCGGAGCCCATTAGGTGTCTGCGGCTCAATGGTTCTGCTGTTCAGGTCTTGCTGTCACCGGCACTAAAGGTCAGGCTCAAATATCGTACTGCCATTCAGATTCAGATCACAACCATCTCATTGGGGTTTCGATGCGCTGCTCGCAGACCGTCAGCCACCTCAAGCGTATTCTACGCATGGAGGTACGATTGCAGGGTGGTGGTCTCGCTGGTCGCTACACTCTAGTTTACCCGACTACCAAGGGCGCAGGTAGACTACGATGAAATGTATTGCTCATCCGCCTTCAACTTACGGCTCGCAGAAGCAAGTCCCCTCCAATGAATTGCGCCTCTTGTTTCATGGGCGGGAGCTCCGCGATGAAGAGCCCTTGGCGGAGGCTGGTTCGTGTCCTGCTGTCCAGCATCGTATGATTCTAAAGTGTTGTTCTCGCTATTGTTGGAAGGATGACTCAATCAGACCCCGCAACTCCTGGGTTGAGTGCTCACGACATTTTCTGCCTTTGCGCCGTCATCACAGGGGTGCGACCTGGTTGCACGATCCATCTGGTGGAACAGGTGGGCTCAATCAGCGTGCTTGACCTGGGCGAGTCACCATTGCAACCGCTCATGCTGATACCCGATGCCATGTTAACCCCAGACCCCTGGCCGGCCTCGAACCCAGGCCGCGTCGGCTGTACCACCTCGATCAGGGACCAGTGCGGATGGCCCAAGCTTTAATTTTCAGCCGCATGTCCAAGTCGGTGCCTTCGAGGTTCCACTGGGAGATGACACCTCTCCCGTGAGTTTCTTCTATGTATACGTCTATTCATGCACTCTTGTATTTTCCACCCTATTTTGATTTGGGGCACTCGAGGGGCGCCGTCCTTTACTATTCGGCTCACGTACCGACCCTTGCCCGGCCTTGCAGCTTGTGAATCGGTTCATGGAAAGTTTTAGTAGCGCCGTGAATGCTTTTGCACGAGACGTGGTCAGCCCTGAGAACCCCGCGTCGGCAACAGAAAATCCAAGGTGGCATACGTATGGTGAAAACGACTACCCAACTGCGGGTTACGACTCGGAAGAGGACGACGACGGTCCACCGGGGCGACTCGTCACGGAAATGCTGCACGCCAGCGTGGCCATGGATACCGATACGCCAGCATTCCGTGCTTCTGCCATTGCTGCGCGTGCTCGCGTGGTCGGTACGCTGAGTCAGCAGCTGCGTACGCAGCTTGGATTGGTGCGTAGCTGATGAACTGCCCGTTGACCTTTTCTCTCGCGCTCGCCCTCTTACCATGAGAGCATTTGGCATGTTTGCAGCTCGCCGAGGACTTGAGCCTTGCTCGGGAGGGCGACGAAGACTTGAGCCCATTTCTGCCGAACCTTGATGTGGAGCGCACACTCAGGGGGGTCAACGCTGCCAACTCGGAGCTCGAGTCGCTGGAGTCGGTGCGTTCGCTTAACCTGCGCCCCCTGCACCGCCCCTGGCCGCCGCCCACTTCGCCTCATCATCTTTTTGTAATGAACGCCCTCGTAGCTGGATGCGGCTGTTACAAGGCAAGACCTGCCGAATACACCAGCACCCATTCTGCGCGTACGCACAGCGGTATGTACCTCCTGCTGTCCAAGTCATTTGTCACTGCGCTGACCCATCTAATGCCCCGCCATTCTTTTGGAAATCGCGTGCAGCTGGACGTGGAGCGCATGAGACTGTGTCGGAAGATTGTGCAAAGCCGCGAGGAAGTGTCACACCTTTTGGCTGAGCTGGGCAGGATTGAAGAAGAGTACCAACACACCTTGGTTGAACGCGTGCGCTTGAGTCAGGTGGCAGACTCTGCGCCAGAGTCTTACGAGGTCAGCCCAGCCTTCTTGCCTGCAGCGTTTATGGTGGCTTGCTCTCACTGTGCTCGCCTCTCGCATCACGCTCGTCTTAGTTTTTGCACGCGGTCGATCGAATGGACGATCGGCTTCGAACTTTGATCACAACCAAAGTATGCGCACTGGCAGTCCCTGTTGTCGTGTTCGAGGCTTGGTCCTTGGGCTTAGCTTTTTTTTTTTTTTTTTTTCGTGTGTGTGTGTGTGTGTGTGTGTGTGTGCGTGTAACATTCTTTGAAGAAACGAAGAGTTCTAAGACCCGGTTCGTGTCTGCCTTGTGGTGAAACAGATGAGCTTGGAGCGACGTTTCGAGACGGAAAATGAGCGATCCTTGCACTTGCGGAATGTATACGCCGCCTTGGTGCCAGAGGAAGCGCCGCCGGCTCTGCTGGAAACGTTTGGGCCTCTTGGCGGCAGACCAACCACAGGCCGTTCTGGCGCGGCTCTTCGTCTGGCCACACAGCTCTTTGAGAGTGCGGTCGCTGCAGAGGACCAAGCCGAACGCCTGCCTCACCCCCGTACGTTCTGCAACATGTTCTCCTTTTCCCTTGATAACTTGTTTTTGCCTCATTATTGCGGCCGGCTTGCTGTCCTTTCTGCTACCCTCAAAAGGAGTGTCGCCCCTCGAGCTATACCGTCGTCTGTGCCGCCAACCGGCCCTGTTGGACGCTTTCCAGCGCATGACAGCAGGCGAACGTTGACACTCCGTGTTCACAATTCGGCACCGCCTACAATGATGACGGCGTGCGGCAACCCTGCCCCACATTGCCCTTTCTCTCTTCGAGCCTCTCTCCCTTCCTTACCCCTTCTCTCTCTGACCTGTGCTGTCGCGTTGTGTCTCTCGTTATCGTCGACGCTCTCGCCTCTCTCCCTGTCAACCAATTCAACAATGTCATGTCTCTCTCTCTTCCTCTCTTCCTCTCTTCCTCTCTTCCTCTCTTCCTCTCTCTCTCTCTCTCTCTCTCTCTCTCTCTCTCTCTCTCTCTCTCCTCCCTTGCTTCTTCTGGGCTCCATGTGGTAGTTGTGCTATTTCTCTCCCTTCTCATTCCTTCAGAACAACGGGAAAAAGAAAAAAAAAACAGTGACATCATGATGATGATTATGCAAGCACACACACACACACACACACACACACACACACACACACACACACACACACACAAACCACACGCAAGCAAGAAAAAACTCGAGTTGTGGTTGTTTGCGCATTTTGGACGAGTCGACCTCGATCGACTGGCTTTGATATGTGCCAGTGACTGGTTTCTGGTCTTACCATGGCTTTGGCGCGAACCAGCAGTTTTTGAGTGTGCGGCTTGTGGCTTGTGAGAGCGAAACAAGTCGGCACTTGAGCCGATCCAAGGGTGCGGCAGAAGCATTTGGATCGCGCTTGCTGCAAGACCACGTGCAAGGCGATAGTGTCAGGCATTGCGCCGCGCTCGTGTGTCTGCTTTCCGACATTGCGAGCTAAACTTATTCCGACGGCATGGGTGCCTCTTCAAGCGAGGGCGCTGGGCGCGAGCCCGTCCCGTGGAAAATTCTTGGTGTCATGTTCTTTGCCCTCTCCTGTCAGACCACAACGCTGACCTTGCCCTTTCCCTTCTTGCCCTTTATGGTCCGGGTGAGTGGGCGCTTTCCAGACGCAGCACAGGCGTACCCTCTGCACACCACTTGTGCACATCGCTCATGCATACCCGGTCCGCCGGCTCGCTGCTCAGTCTTTTGGGTATGACAATGACGGGGACGTGGCCTACAACGTGGGCATCATCGCCAGCGCCATGTTTCTTGGTCGCACCATTGCCAGCTACCCGGTACGCCCATTCACCTGCCCCAGCTTTGACAGCCTGGTGTTTCCCAAGCTGGCAGGCCCCTGCCTCCTTCCGTGCACACCCAGCGCGAACAATGCCCAGCCCCTGGCGTTCAAATGCTGCCATTGACATCACATCTTGCTCACTGCACACACTTCTGCGTCCACGCGGGACTCTGCTCTGACTGACCCAGCTGGGGCGCATGCTGGACACGTACGGTCGGCGCCCAGTCCTCCTTACCTCCCTCGCCGGGCTCGCCAGTAAGGCCTGGGTGTGCCTGACTCGTCTAACCCGCCGTGCTTGCTAACAAGTAGCTGACAAACTACCCACCTGCTATCGAACCTGTCGTACTAATACCTCATGTGCTATTGTGCTCTTCGGCCTCATCCTGCCGATTTAGTCTTCATGATGATATTTGGCCTTTCGCATAGCGTATGGCACGCTGCCGTGCTGCGCTTTTGCTGTGGCCTATGCAATGGTGTCGTCATGGCTACCAAAATCATGCTCTCCGAGGTCAGTTCCCCCTCCCGCAGCGTGAACCGGATCCTCCAAATCGTCACCCAATGTCAACCCGTCCCGCCTCGGGGTTTGCGTTGCAGGTCTGCCCAGTGCATTTTCAAGCACAAGCTGCTTCCATGTTGACCGTGTCCTGGGGTGTGGGCCTTGTCATTGGTATGTTTGCCTGCTTGCGCAGTTTCCCTCGATCAACGTCCTGGGTGCTGGTCTCGCCGTCAAGCTCCAGTCGAGGCGCCTTCCTGTTTTTTTCTGTTTTTTGACACCCAAAATTGCCGTTGGGAATTGATCAGGCAGCTCACTGGGAGGCATTCTGGCCGAGCCTGCGTCCAAGATGGAACTTTTTAATACGCCCTTTTTTCAGACCAACCCCTACTTCTTGCCCTCCCTCATCTGCACGGTGCTATGTGGAGCCGCCTTTGTGCCCTCATACCTCTACCTGCCCGAGACCCTACCCAAAGGCTTGCATGCCCCTGGTGCATCCCACGGGAGCGATGAGGAGGATGTCGAAGCTGCTACAGCGCCTCTCATGCCAGCGCAGTCCGAGGTGGTGGACAAGATCAAGAGCGGCACATGGCCCTCCAGCGATGCCGCGTCTGAGCGACCACTTTCTGCACGCGAGCTTCTGAAGCAACGTGAAGTTGTTTTGCTGATTCTCCTCTACGGCGTCTACGCCATAGCAGCCATTGGCATGGAGGAAATTCATAGCGTCTTCTGTGCCACCTCGGTTGAGCTGGGCGGTCTGGGCTGGGACACGACCACCATCGGAACGAGTCTCGGCCTCATTGGTGTCATACTCATGTTTATGCAGACGATGGTCTTTCCACAATTGGAAAAGCGCCTCAAACTTGTCAAGACAACGGCGGTCGGCTGTGCGCTGGCGACCTTCTTTATTCTGTGGTACCCTCCCCTCAACACGCTGGCCACCAACGCGCGCGCCCTGCCGCTTGGTGTTGACCCGCGTCCTTCCGATGAGCTGCTTTCAGAGGAGGGCAAACACGTGGATGGCACCCTCTACCTGGCCACGGCCGTGGTTGCCGTAGCCTATCGTGTGTTTGGTGGCTGTGTCTTTTGCGGCATCACGTTGCTCTTCAACAACTCGGTTCACGCCGTTAATCGGTACGATCCGTCCTCTCTTGTGTCTCGCAAAGATTATCAGACCGAGTCGACAAAACGTACCGCACGCTCATGTAACACTCCTGCTGGTGGGATAGGGGGGCTGTCAACGGTTTAGGCCTTACATTCACGGCCTTTTGCCGCATCTTTGGGCCACTCAGTGCGGGGGCCATCTTCTCCTGGAGCATCAAGGAGCCCCGCCCCTTCCCCTTGAATTACTGGCTCGTCTTCTTTCTTTTGGCGGCCATCTCTGCCGGGGCCTTGTGGATTGTACTCCAATTGCCCGCCTCTCTCAACCGACCCAAAGGCGCGCTCCCGGGCTAATCGTCATTTGTTGCTGTCCAGTCGTTTAGTTTCACCCCCCCTCCCGCCTCTGATTCATGAATAGAGTAGAACCGAGGCATGCGTCGACTCGAGAATTGTAGTAAAGCGAAAGAAGTCGAAAGAAGTGACCATACCCAACTGTTTTATCTGACAAACTACGGCGAGATGATGACACTGCAGTTGAACACGTTGCTCTAATGTGTTCAAAAACTACCGTCCGTTACCGTTTTCTTCCCGCGCTCACAACAGTGGTTTCCCGCCAAAAAAAAACGTCTAAAAAAAGTCGACAACACACACACTCGCACACACACACACTCTCTCTCTCTCTCTCTCTTCAGTTTTTTGCTTTTTGCGCGAACCGCGAGACACTTGTTGGGACTGCAACCGGCAAGAGCGCCGGCGCTGGCGACAAGGGCGCGGTGATTGCATTCACTGTGCCTGGACCAAGCAGTCTTCGAGTATCGGCCGTGCGTTGGTGCGTGTCGGCTGTGTCGTTCCCCGTCCTGCAATTAGCGATTCCGATGAGATTGCATTTCTCACCACCAAAGTCAAACGCGGCGCTCTCACCAGCAGAACTACTGCTTCAACCCTGGCATTTTCTTTTTCTGTCTTTGACACTAGGATTGGGTCGTGAACTTTTGTGGTCGCCAACCTTGTCGATCGGACAGCTACCCCCTTTCCAGTCGGATCTCAGACTCGAACCACCGCCGCCGCCATGTATATCAAACAGGTATGCATGCCGCGAGAGCTCAGCTTGCCTTGCTTCCCGTGGCGCCACGCCTCGGTGCTTCTGCCTCGGTGCTTCTGCCTCGGTGCTTCTGCCTCGGTGCTGCTGCCACATCCTTGGGCCTCAACTGTTTGCACCTGCTTTGCACCTTCCCCAGGTCACCATCAAGGGCTTCAAAAGCTACCGTGATCAGACATTTGTCGAGCCTTTCAGCCCCCACCATAACGTCATCGGTGCGTCGGCGCCTGATGCGCATGCCACATCGCTTGAATCTGTTGGCCTTTGATCACCTTGATCAGACCCCTCACTGGCCCAAATTCAACCTATTTTATATTTTAAATGTTTTTGACAGTGGGTCGCAATGGCAGTGGCAAAAGCAACTTCTTTTTTGCCATTCGCTTCGTCCTCAGCGACATGTTCTCCTCCATGCGTGCTCCTGAACGCCGCGCCCTGCTCCATGTGTGTTTGCCCAGCCACCTCCTGTTGTGGGCCTGCTCAAACCTTGGCAGTTACCCATCTCAACGACATGGACATGCACATTTGTCTCACAACCCTGCTACCGCGTGCCCCGTTCTTCTTGCAGGAGGGTGCTGGCCGAGCGGTTGTGGATGCATATGTCGAGATCGTTTTTGACAACAGCGATGGTCGTATCCCAGTATGTCTTCTCGTTGAGCCATGCACGTCCCCTTCTGTTCCCAACGGGCTGCCCATCCTCATTGTTGGCAAATGCATTTGCCCGTGTCCTCAGATTGACAAGGAGGAGGTCGTGCTCCGCCGAAATTTTGGTCTGAAGAAGGATGAATACTACCTCAACAACAGTCGTTCCACCAAGAACGAGGTTTGCTTGCTTTCTCGCCTAGTTGCATTTGGAATCGAGCGCCGACACCTGGCACTCACTGTATCCATGCCGCTGCGACAGGTGGTCAACCTTCTCGAATCTGCCAACTTTTCCCGGAGCAACCCTTACTATATTGTGCAGCAGGGCAAGGTCTGGCGCAAAGTCCCTCCTTTTCTTGATCAAAGAATTCTGCGTGTTTGCGATTGCTTTTCTGTTCTCTTTTTTGACATGCTCGATGCGCTGTAGATCAACGACCTGGCCACGGCCTCGGACTCTGCCCGTTTGGACTTGCTTAAGGAGGTGGCCGGCACAAAGTGCGTGACATCGCCCTATGGCTGGGCACGGTCATTGCGTCGTTATGCTCACACATTTCGCCTTACTGCTTTGAACCGTGAGCAGCGTCTATGACGAGCGCCGTAAGGAGTCGCTGAAGATCCTGGAAGATGCCAACAACAAGCGGGATCGGATTGAAGAGGTCCTCAAGGACATTGACACGCGCCTCGAAGAGCTCGAGTCGGAACAGTCGGAGCTCAAGGCCTACCAGCAGCTGGACACTGACAAGCGGGCCATCGAGTACGCCATTTACAGCAAAGAGTTGCGTGACACCAACGATCAGTTGGCGGCGCTGGAGCAGCATCGTGAAGAGCTCTCCTCACATCTTCGCTCAGAGGATGGCAATGCCACCGATTTGCAAGAGGAGCTCACAACCCGTGAACAGCAGCTGGAGGAGAACAAGCAAGAGCTGGCTGTGCGTATCACGCCCGTTTGTCGCGTGTCCCGGCTGACTATCGCCCGCTTGACTATGCTCATTTTGCCCGCGCCACTGCTCAGGACTTGCAAACGGATCGCACTACGATCGAGACCGAGCGCGCTCAACTCTTGCGCACCGTGGCCGGGTTGCAAGTCGATGTGGAGGAACTCCAGGTAGAGCGGACATGTCGCTTCATGCCCTCCTTTCGTTTGTCGCTGGATGCGGTCTCCGGAGACAGATTCACGCCGCGGTCCCATTTGTAGAGCTCGGCTTCGATGGAAAAGGGTCGCTATGGCGAAATTGCAAAGGACATGCAGCACCTGCGGTCCGAGGTGTGTCTGTGCGCATGCGCGTGTATGCACATGACCCCGAACATTGTCTTTTGGACCAGAACCCGCTGACGCGCTCCGCATATGCTCTTCCTTTTGCGGTGGGCTGTTAAAACAGATCCAGCGAGTCGAGGGCCAGTTGGCCGAGCTGGCAGGTCCCTATGAAGAGGTTACCGCTCAGCGCGAGCAGCATGAGAAGCTTTTGGCCATCAACGAGCAGAAGCGCGATGCGCTCCTGGCCAAGCAGTCTCGCCACGCTCAGGTGATACCCCTCTTCTTGATCCTTTGCCGTGGCATCTTGGCTCTCACGCGAGCTTTGTGGTTGCGCAGTACCAAACCAAGGAGGATCGTGATGCCTTTTTGCGGGAGGAGCTAGCGTCGGTGACCAAAGCAAAGCAAGGCAAACAAGAAAATCGTCTCGAGTTGCAAAAAGACATTGAGCGTCACCTTCGTACCGTGACGGAACTGGTATGGCATGTCTTCTCTCTTTCAGCACGCGTGGAGAACGTGTGCTAGAACGCGTGTTAGCACGGCTCAACCAATCGTGTTGCGCTGTGCTGTCCGCGCCTTTAGGAGGAAGAGATGACCGATGCCAACAAGGCCATCACCCAGCGCCAGGTCGAGTCGCTGCATCCGCTAGCTTCCCTGATCTCTGACACAGCTTTTGTTGAATCTCACGGAGCATGAATGTTGGACAGGCCGACATTGAAGAAGCGAAGCGTCAGCTCAGCACCTATAGCAGCCAGCGTATCGAGCTTCAAAATCAACGCCGCGTACGTCTTTGGGAACCATGTCTGGCCAGCCCAAGTGTCTTTTCGTCCCCATCCCGCTAACTGCGTCACGCCGGCGCCTGCTCAGGATTTGCAAAAGGAGCTCTCAGACCATGCTCACGTTGTGGGCAAAGGTTGGTTTACCCCCGAACCGCTCACACAGCTAAATGTGCTTTCTCCCTTCCTTCCTGCTCACGTCGATCCGTGCCGATGCTCTCGTACCATGTGCCGTAGCTCGTGCTATGCTTGACGAGCGGGAAAAGGCTCTGTACGGGAGCGCCAGCAAGGTCGTGGTTGAGGTGAGCCACCTCAGCCTAGAATACACCAAGTCTTGCATTGCAGAACCGCACTTGCGCATTCTCATCGCACACGCATGACCACACCCCAGGGCTTGCGGGTGGTTCGAGACCTGACTGAGCGCATGCAAGTGGCTGGCGTGTACGGACCCGTTATCGATCTCATCAATGTCGATGAGGACGTACGTTGCGGGTGTGCTCCGATAAATTGGGTAGCTCGGCGTCGGTGCTCACTCTGCGATCTTGGGGTGCATTTCCCAGTTTGTGGTGGCTGCCGACGTGACTGCGGGCAACGCTCTTTTCAACGTTGTTGTGGATACAGATCAGGTCCGCGAGACGTCCCATCCTGATCCACCACAGCTTGTCGCTGGTTGCACCTGACATTCGCGCATGATTTTGTCAACCCGACTCCAGGTGGCGACTCAATTGCTGCAGGAGATGAACCGACTCAAGCTTCCGGGCCGCGTCACCTTTCTGCCCCTGAGCAAACTTCGGCCGAAGCAATTCACTTACCCCGAGGTCCGTGCAAATGGTTCAATCTCGAGCCCGCGTAGCTCTTGACCACCTTGGATGACCATTCTCGTCATGTCCCCTGCTGCATAGACGTCAGATGCTGTACCGTTGCTGTCCCGCGTTCAGGCTGACGAGCGCTTTTCAGCTGCGTTGCAGCACATTTTTGGCCGGTTTGTTCATTGCGCCTTTTCTTGTCCAGCCGGTTACATGCTGTTTGCTTGTGCGACGGCTTGCTCGGGTGCAAACCCGCTCAACCGTCGGGGACTGTGTCGAAAGCTCTGCCTTTATTGACGAATGTTTGACCTAACCCGTGTCTTTATCTTTTAGCACTTTGGTCTGCCGAGACTTGAGCGTCGCCAGCAGCTTCTCGAAGGAGGGCACGTTTGATGCCATTACTTTGCAGGGTGATCGCGTGAGTCCTTTCTTGCATTACTGGATGCCGCCCGTGGACATGGCCATGATTTATCCCTTGTTATGGTTTAACCATCACTCGTTGGGCTCTATTTCAGGTTTCGCGCAAGGGCGCTTTCACCGGTGGCTTTGTCAAAACCAAGGCCTCCAAACTGCGATTGCAGGCCGAGATCCACGAGTCACGCGACGAGCTAGAGCGGTGCGCTGCTGACAATATTTGATCCACTCGAGCCCCAGCAATGGGCCTCGGCAAGGCCAGCTTGGGCTTCATCATTCAACTCACTTTCTTTTGCCGCTATTGCGACTCGGCAACAGGCTGACCCGGCGCCAGGACGAGCTCAAGGATGCCGAGGCCAAGGTTGAACAACAGGTTGGTCGCGGCATTGATTGATCCCCCTCCCCTTGTTTCCTCAATCTCAACATCACTCACGCAGATGGCTTTTAGACGACTCTGCTGCTGACCGAGATGCACAAGGCTGAGAACGAGCTGAAGCAATTTCGCACCAACGTCCATCACCTGCAGGGTGATGTGGACCAAATGACACGCTCCATCGAGGAGAACAAGCGTCAAGCAGACATTAAGCGCAAGGTAGGGTAACTTCTTGGGAGCTTCGGGGGAAGCTTTTGCCTTTCTCTGATGTAATTTTGTGTTGGGTGGTCGTTCTGCTCATGTTTTGTGTTGCGGATGGCATTCCGGGTCATGATCAGCAAATCAACCAGCTGGAGACAGACTTGGCCAAGCTGCTGGAGCAAATTTCGTCGCTTGAGGTACGTCCAGGTTGTGTTTTGCAATGCTTGTAATGTTGTATGGCCGTGTCCTCAACCCAACGCTGTGCCCGCCCATCCTTCATCAGAGTGAGCTGGCATCGGAGATGGAATCGCAAATGGATGAAGACGATCAGTTGCAGGTGGGATCCTTGATCGGCAGCAAACGCTCGAGCCCCGAAAAGGATCTCGGGTTTTCCTAACGTTCCTTTTCTTCCACGCCTTGTTGACTTTTGCTCAGCACCACGAGGTGGCTGACATGATCGAACAGACGCGCGAGCAATTACACGTGTGCATCCAGCAACAAAGCGGTACGGTGCCTTTGCCTGTGTCCAAGAAACACGAGATTTGCAATGCCACTGACATCGCCGCTGACCAACTATCTCCACCCCGTGCCGTGTACATGGAATAGAATTGCAAAATCAAATGACAACGCTGGAGACCAGTTTGACGCAGAACTTGCGCACGCGTGAGGCCATCTTGTTAAAGGAGATGCAGCAGCTGGAGAGCCAGGAACTTGATGTCGACCTTACTGGCAAGGTAAGGTTCAAATGCATGCGTATCATGAAGAGGATATGGTGGCATGTGTGTGTCTGCTCTGCTTTGCCTAACTTTGTGCTCACCCGCGGGACGGTTGCAGCTACGGGAGCTCGAGGATGCCAGGCAACGAGCTGACCAGTCGCGAGTAACGTACGCCAGACACACGTGCAATGTTTTAAATTGGAATCTCACTCGGCCCATGTCCGCGATAAGCTCACGGACAATTTGTGGCCTGCACAGAATGGCTGGCATAGACGAGCGAGTATCAAGTCTACAGACCACGATCAACAAGCTCAACGACGAAGTTCGTTAGCCTCGTCCCCCACCCTGCTCATATCTTTCTGATTCTTGCTCGATTTTTATGTGCTGCGAGCCCTGTACCGCCTTTCTCAAGCTTTCGATGGTTTTGCATTTTGAGCTAGATCGATACGCTGCGCTCGGACATGTACCAACGGACGACAGCAACCCAGGATACTCACAATTCCATGGAGACACTCATGACCAAGCGGAGTGCTTTGCTACGCAAGCGGGTATGCTGGCTTTTTTCTTGCTGCAGGGGTGGCGCTTACAGGGTTGTAAGTACCATCTCACGGCGATTTTGCATAATTCCTCACACATAGGATGAAACCTCTACCAACATCCGTGAGCTGGGTGTTTTGACTAACGAGGCGTATCATAAATATGGCGACCAGAGTGAGTAACCTCTTGCTCTGTGGTTGTTGTTTTAATGGTGTTTTTTTGTTTTTGTTTTTTTGTTTTTTTTTTTTTTTGTTTTTTTTTTTTTTTTTTTTTTGGCGCCCTCCCCCCCCCCCCCCCTTTTTTTTTCTTAAAACCCCCCGCCCGAAGGGCCCATCCCCCCTTGGGGTCTGGGCAACAAAAAACTTTTCCCTTTTCCCAG